TTAACGCTGGTCGTGCTTAAAAAGAGAGCTGGGTGCTGAATTAATGCGACAAAATCTTAAAAAAAAGATCAGCATCTGAAATAATGCCTTCAATGCTGAAAATAAGCACTGCATGCCTAAATATGTGCTGAATATGTGCTGAGAAGGCTAGAATTAAGCTGAAAAAATTGCCACTATGTGCTGAATTAGGTCTTTTCGTTCTGAAGTAATGCTAGTCAGTTCTGAATATGTGCTGAGAAGGCTAGAATTAAGCTGAAAAAATTGCCACTATGTGCTGAATTAGGTCTTTTCGTTCTGAAGTAATGCTAGTCAGTGCTTAATATGTCCTGTAATGGCTGGAACAACGCTGATAAGGAAACCCAGTATGTTCTGATCTACTCCTGAAAATGCCTAGAAAAAGAACACGGTGCTGAATTCGTTCTAGTCATGCTGAAAACCAGCACTGAGTTCTAGTCTGTGCCATTAAACAAACCATTTCAGAACAGATTCAGAATTTACTCACTATAGGATGCAAGAATTATTTCAGAATTACTGAGATTTAATTCAGCATTATTGTAAGCTTGAGCAGATTACAACTTCAATTAAATAACATTGACGTTGAAGAAATTCCATTCTTCATTACTAAACTTAATGATAATAATAATGTTTTTCTTCTAGAAACAGGAGCATTCGTAATGTTTCATTTTATGTAAATGCAGTTACATACAGTTGCACTAAGAACTCAATGCAACTCGGTGCACAATAGTATATACACAAATAAACTGAAAAATAACGTCCTCCTTACCTTCTGAACAACTTTTCCTTATTACAGGATAATAACTTTCTTTCACGTATGAGCCTGAGATATGTCTATGAAATCACAATATTATATCAGTTAAATCTCGCCCCGAAACCAAGGCCACTTGAAACCAATAGCAACATTGAGACAAACGTCATTGAGGGGATATGCAATAAAGTCGCTCTTTAGTAACAAAATCTTGATGGAGGTAAATGCTTACACAATTGTGAGACATTCGTACCCTGATTATAGTATCCTTATTTGGAACTTAAAAGAATCAAAAAAAGTATATCCATCTGACTGACGTGCTGATTATCCCATGGTAGTTATCTCCAGCATTCATGAAGTAATTCCCAAAAAACAAATGGAATCCAAATAAAAAGGTCATCAGACTCGGTAAACGGAAAATTCTAGATGACTACTGAAGATGTCACTGGGGAATGAGGTGGAAAAAAGCGTTATTCTTAGAGCCGTATTTCAGGTCAAGGATAAAAGTCTGAGAAAGAGGCCGCTGGAAGGTGGAATTAAAAGAAGACAGGCCGTGGTGCCATGACTAGAGAAAGGTGAGAAAGACCTTGAACTTTTGGTTGTCGGGTAGTGACATCTCGGAAACCTATGTTGCCCAGACCTCTGTTCATAGGTCGACTGAACACTTGGATTTTCAGTGTACTATACGAACGCGTGTAGTCTCAGGAATAAGCTCCCGAATTAGGAATATTATCTGGAAGACTACGACCTGATGTGATTGCAGTCACTGGAACATGGTTGTTAGTGGGTGTAAACTTGCACTAGCGTGCATCTGCATGAGAGCAGACAAATTAATTAGTTCGAATGATGGTGGGGTTGCCCTATATATCCGCGATGGCATATGAATTAGGTCAGCGTCTCCAGAAGCGGATGATAGCGCCACTAGTGAAGCCTCAAGCTGTGTTATTAGCTTGAGCAGGGGCACTGTGGCGATCGGGGTTATTTACAAAAGTCCTGCCAGCCAAGCTGATGGCTTCTTACTAAATCACCTCGGGGCGTAAAGCAGCAAAAGTAGTAGGCTACTTAACTGCCCCACATATTAACTGAGAGGTATCAACATCCACTGCTACATCAGAGAACTTATACTGACAGTGCTTGAATATGCACTTGCGCAGAATATATATGTACCACCATGATACCACCCTGAAAATTATCCTTCTCCTGTAGAGTTGGTGTTAGCACATCAGAAGAAGGATGTTGGTGACAGTGGCTGCCTTCCTTCTCTGGGCGGTAATGGCCCTGCAGTCATCGCTTTGATTTTTAAGATCCATGCTGTCACACACAGATCAACATCTGCTCGTCCAAACGTTTGGAAAGCGGATATACCTGCGATCCCAAACGCGGCAACCTTATCTGACTGTTGAATTGATACAAATCGAGCTGGCGAGGAGGCCTGGCTATGATTTAGAACTACACTAGATTGTGTCACCTCGCCTCTTGTACCTTGATCTGCGCCTTGAAAATTATCTCATAAACCACGTCGGACTAGTAATGAAATAAGGAGGTTGTTAAGAGAGCAAAAGCACTTATGGAACCGGTTAACTATGACGGGAAGGGGCTAGTTTTAAATGAACTACCTCAAAATTCGAAACCTTTGTAAGTGTATGATTGATAAAAGTCGTATAGAGTACGAGAGACAGTTAGTGCTGGACTGTGTTCGTTATCCAAGAATTATGTACTTGTATATCAAACGTAGGACTAAAACTAGCAGTGGTATAACATCACTCATCAGTAATGGAAAGGCGGCCAAGTCAGATGAAGCTAAAGCTGAAAAGCTCTAGGAATATTTTGTGATGTCTTTTCATCTGTTCGTGTCACCCAGGAGTATAGCGAGGTCTCTGCGATCGCCTAGACTGTCAAGCTCCTTGGCGGACACGATGTACATTCCACTTAAGGAGATTTTTCAGATACCTCTGACGGGACTAGGCTGTCCAGGGACTGGAAGGTGGCAACTATAAAGCTTATTTTCAAAGAGAAGAACAGGCGGTCGGTATCTAACTACCGGTCTTTAAGTCTGACACGCATTATAACAAAGGAACTGGAAATAATAATATTACGTCACCTATTGGCTCCTATGGAGAAACATGGCTTGCTGGTTGTGGAAAGGCATGGATTCCCACCAGGATGGTCCTGACCGAGAGACCTACCATTAACTAAGGAAGACTGGGGAGAAGTCAGGGTTAAAAACCTTCGATTGGATGTTGTTTTTGTCCATCTCAGTAAAGCATTCAATAAAGTATTCCATGTAGGTCTCCATAGTATACTGAAATGTTTTAGATTGAACCAGTGCTTATATGAGTGGTTTGGGGACTACCTAGTGGATAGAAGGCAAAGGCTAAGTGTGAGTGTTATACTGTCAGTGTAGAAAACAGTACTGGGTGGAGTGCCTCAGGGAACTGTACTGGGCCCCCTGCTATTGCCACCATCAGAAGTTTTTACATCATCATTCTTATCTGTGGATGACATTAGGATCTGGAAACCTGTAAATAATAATGATGCTGGCCCAGTATTACAAAGTTATCCAGATAAATCAGCCAGATAATCGAACATTTGAAGTCTGAAAATCAATTCCAAGAAAAGAGCGGTAATGCACTCAGGTCACAGTTCATACATGTCGCAAACCTTGAGGGACACAGAACTGCCAGATTTTAATAGAGAAAAGGACTCCTGAAGCATTCGTTCCGCGTAAGCCAAAGACAAAGCGAAACATCACACTGATAGTCCAAAATATGAAGTATATTTCGTGACCAAAATCGTAGTGCGAGGATGGTTGCCTAACTAGCTAGGAATCGTACACCAACAAGTGAACGTAACACGGCAGAGTGCCAAATCAGGTGGATGCTCGACTGTGAGCCTTCAGAAAAAAATTCGATTTGAACAGTGAAGGTCAGCACCCACTGCTGAGTGATGAATTCTGTAGGCTAATAATTCTGGGGAATTATCCTCCGCTACAAAACCGAAGGAGAGTAGGTGACGTAATTTTTGCGTACCTTATTTTGAAGGGTGATTTGGAGATTGGCATTTCTAATCTTTTCTCTCCCTCTAGAATAAATCTACGAGGTCATCACAAAAGAAGCTCAAAGTGAGGACGAATAAAATACATGTGGAATTTAGATTCTGTCACAGAGTGGTTAACGACTGGAATTCCCAACCAGATTCTGTGGTAACATCTCCGTCAGTGAACGATTCCAAAGAGAAACCAGATCTCTGTAGAGATATATGTTTCAAGGATTAACACAGGCGACACGAGCTTACTATCTTAATTAACTGAATCTATCTTGCCAATTAAAGCGGTAATGTCAAACTAAGTCAAGGTCAGGATGACGGTAAGCACATGGTTATTGCGATTGACATTTAGACTGCACTGGGAATAATTTTAGATGTAGGCTTTCATATGACACCGATCATAGATGAGGCTGTCAAATGTGTAAAATTACTGTTAGAAAAAAAGGTGAGTTTTTGTTATTCAAGGCGAGAAATATCTAATTTACTCAGTTTTTTGCGGAATCTAAAGATCAAGTTGCATTTATTCTTTGTGGTTCCGACGCTACAGACAATGCCCTAGCGGACGATGAGGGAAACTTCCAAAACATCTCAGTGATTTTCAGTCTGAACCCTATGAGCTGGAGTTTGCTGGAGCTTTTGACACCAAATTTATTATCATCGTCAACAGCAGATGGTATACTTCGTTTAAGTTTAATTTTTGCGGACAGTTGTTGACGCTATAATGGTGGCTGCTGATCACTTACATAATCACTGCAAGTAAGCTTGAAATCCTCGTTTAATTACAATGTTGTAGGAATAAAAAGGGTTTGAAAGAGAAACACATACTTCTTGTCAGTAATCTCTGCGGCCCAGTTGATGAGTGTGATATATCCAAACTCACTGAAACTCTGCAGCCTACAGGTATCAAATTCAGTCTGATCGGTTGTGATCTGAAGAATACCAATAATATTACACCACACGACACCCTAAATGAACCTGGACCATCCCATAGACCTTCACCAAATTGATCATCCTCGAAAGTCGATTCCATGTCTTCCGTTTTTCTCTGATCTGTGGTGTAGACTTGATGGTGATTCGTATGAACTTATGTGAGTTTATCGGCTTTAAAAATTGCCTGTATCCCATTATAGTAATATTTTCTGGCGGTTGGGTGCCGGTTTTTTACTTTTCGAGGTAGTTTTAATTCAAAAACTTGCCTTGGAAGTAACTTCAGTCCTTCAGTGGTTTTCTGAGTTGTATGTGTAAAAGAATATGAAAGAAATATTAACTTTTCATTGTAACCTACTTAAGTTATCACCTGTCAGTCTTTGGTTTTAATGCAACAGTCACACCTGCTGATTGATGACAATGATTATGACAAAGGTGTAATGATCACATCTTCAGCTTTTGACAAATTCTGGAACGCGGATATACTAATTGCCGTCCAATCCCTAGCATAATATAGTCGTCGTGGGTGAAGCCGCTGAAAATATACTAAGCCTTCTGAATACATTGTATAGAAATCTTAATATCTGGTGTGCTATTTGCCCCTTTCATATGTAAAATAGTGCTACAAGACTGGTATGGTTTAAAGTTAGGCAGTGAATTCATAGAGCGTGTCCTTCTGGGATGACCGCTGACAGATACAAAAGGTTCGTGTTGCACTTGTTAACTTACATCATCTCTGACGTAGGTGGGTTATCCGGATATTGGCTAAAGAACGTGTGTACCGTGGATTAGTCCACTCTGTCCTTGATTTTGGTAACGAGACATGACCACTGAAGGTTGACGATATGAAAATAATGCCTTTGACTGTAGGTCTTTGTATTCTGTATTCCGTGTTAAGTGGTTTATCATGGTGAGTAATATTGATGTCAGGTGTGGAGTTGGGAAAAGAAAGTAAGTGAAACAATGAGGTTGTGAAGCTTCAGCTACTGAAGTTGCTAGGACTGACGTTATGCATACCAGGCCATCACTTCCCCATCGAATAATGTCAACTGACTGAGGATTAAGTTAAAAAACAATTACGAGTGGTCAAAGCGAGACATGACGTCTATCTATGAAGTCCTTGATTGTCGATATGAGACACGTAGGGAGATGTAGACTGCTTGGTGACTGACTGACTGGTTTCATCATAGAACTTTGCACAGATGTGAAACAGTTCAAGTTGCCAAAATCCATGTAGCACACAAAGCAAGAGAAGAGAGTATAGAGAGATCCAAAAGAGATGATAAATAGAAGTGTGAGGCAAGAAGCATAGTAATATGGAAGTAATGTGGATTTGATAAATCATAAAGAGTGAATGCATATGGGAACGATTTTGAGCTATATCACCAATTGTCTCCAGCCGTTGGTTTTAACCATCCCGAGGACCTCAACCAAAATGTGGCTGGCTTAAACTAACTGCAGTGGATTTCATTGACTGAAGCTATGTTTTGGTTTGACCACCTCTAGCTAACTCTTCCAACCTGATACTATGTCACCTAACATTGTCCGTTGAGGAAGCCAATGGCCAGGCATACGTAACACATGTCCTAACCATCTCAGTCGATGTAACTTCACAGCCTCGTCAGCTGATATCCCCTCCTTACTTAGCGCTTGACGCCTAACCTCAATATTACTCACCCTATCATACCACCTGACACGGGAAATAGAACGCAGATACCTATGATGAAAGACAGCTAGCATTTTCATGTCTTCCACTTTCAATGTCCATGTCTTACAGCCAGTCATAAAGGAGGACACAGCGAACTGCTGAGCAGTACAAACGTCCTATGATCAATAACCAGCTGGCGTACTGTCAAACGAGCCCTCTGTATCCGTGCTGATGTTTCGTCAGCGATCACCCCACCGGTACTGGCTGATGCGAATTTCCAAATAAGTGAAGTGGTCAACACGCTGTATCACATCACTCCCTATTTTTAAGCTAGGAGTGAGTAGATGTAGTCCAGTCCTGTAGTATTATCTTACATTTCACAAGGGGAGCGAATCACATGCAAAGCATTCGGAGATTGCTGCTCAAGGTGTTCAGAACACTGCATTTTTTCAGCGTCTTCACCTAGAAGGACAATATCGTCTGCATATTCTAAGCCAACGTGATTATCCCATTTGAGTCACTGAAGTCAGTTAGAGTTAAGTGCATTAGTCCATCTATGATGAAACTAAAGAGAAATGGGGATAATGGGCATCCCCAACAGACACCACTGGTTGTCACCACTCCAGATGATAACTCTACGTAAGCTCTCACTTGGCTAACTGAATTCTAGTAGAGTGCATTGATCAGTGCGATGTGTTGATTGGTAGTGGTCTTCGGGGTTTTAATAACCCATGCTTGCAGACTAACAATGATGTGTCACAGATTATACAGACGAATCCACTCCTTTTCATTTTCCAGATTCCCAAAATCTTATCTGATTATTTTTCTTGTGTATACATTCAATAATTTTACTAAATTACATTTTTCTTTATTAATTTGTTTATTGGATATATCACAGCAAAAAAGTATAATCTACTGGATAGTACTGTTTTGTTGTGTATTATGTCCAATAAACAAATTAATATGGAATTACATTCCACAGTATCCAAGTTTTATACACTGGTTTCGTTTTGTTGGTGTAGTGTGAAGTAGAGTCGTCGGAGTCAGACCACTTACTAATGAGTTTTCCTTGCATCCACGACAGTGATGCAGTCTCTGCTTTAGGTATATTTGAAACTCGTAGCGTTTGTCAGCGTGGTTGGAAAGTGGAATTTCAAATTAGTGATTCAGTTGTGATCCCTGTTGTTGGCTATACGCAAATCAAAGAAGCTCATCCACCCACCATGAAAATTTTGTATGCTCCAGATCCATCTATTCCACTCCACACTGCTACAAAATACTACAAACAGAATGAAAGTTCCTCCGAAGTGGACTCTTCTATGGTAACCCGAGGTAAGGTCTTTTCTTTATTTTCTCATGAAGCCTTCATCACTCCTACAAATTTTATGCAAAATAGTTATAATTATAAATATTCTTTGAGAAATCTAAAATCTAATCCATCTGAGACATCCTTTCAAGATTTTGTCGACCTTAACATTTATTTGTTCATGCATAATATATATGCTTGAAGATTTAAATTTCTATGAATATATATCAGTAAGGTAGACTGACGATGTTATTAATAGTAGTTCCATAGATGTTGTAAGCGGTCTTTTCGTATTTGTTCATCATCACGCTGTCCACACGCATACTGATAACTCCAGACGTTTGGATCCACCGATTAAATTGTCGTTGCGCAGCTTTTCTACAGCAACATCAGTATTTATGTTGGATCCCATTGTCAATTAAGATTACCGCCACTTTTTAGGGATTGTAAACTTTTGCGTATTTCCTCAAAACACAATATTGCAAGTCATACACACATTAACACTTTCACTTGAACCCACCTACATTCATATAAATTTCAAAAGTAATAGGTTTAAAAAATGAAAGCAAGTGATCTTTACATCTGATATTGCGTTTGGATGTTTGGTATCCTATACGTTCAAGTGTGGTTCTGTGTTAAAAGAGGGCACTACTTTATACCATAAGGTTGGACATGAGAACACAGTATCTGGTTGGCGTACGTGAATGTTGAGTTTATTGAAGGCTAAATATTTAATCATGTCCCAGTAAACACTCGTTCTAGATTAGATGCGAAAGATTTGTCGCTCAGGTGCATGACATTGGTGTAGCTGTATTCTTTGAGCTGGTTGGTTTAATGGCGAAGCTTTCCCATTCCTCCTAGACATTATCTTCATTGTTTATTTCAACATATAGTTAGCTTTTAGAATTCTTCAGGAGTTTACTAGCCATCACTCCTGTTAATGCTAAACACGATTGGTTGTTTCCGAACGTTTTTTAGTGCCTCTTGTCCAGTTTTATTGGTACTTATTATTTTGTTGACCTTATGTCCGTGTAACTTCTCTTTTTATTGATTGTTAAATAGGAGTAATATCGGTGTATCTGTTGATTGCAGATTCGTCTGAGTGGCAGGCCAGTGGTTTTTTATTTTCATCATTTGATGATTTTGAGTTAGTTGGTTAGTTTTTTCTTAGGTATCTTTTATCCATTTTTATGGATAATGGCTATGAGATATTTCTCTTCGATTCCCCTCAAGGCTGGAGTACTTCAGTTTACCCTACGTCTTTTCAATAGTGTTTGTATACAACTTGTTTTGTACGCTGTTAGGTTGTTGCCGATGTTATCGAGTATTTGATATGTATTGTGAGTCGGCTTTGTGCATACTTTAGTTTCTAGTTTTTCCGCGGTTTTTCGTTTGACCAAGGTTCCCACAAATGGGATTTTTTCCTTGGATTTCTCTACTATCATAAATTCGATGTCGTCGAAAACTTTACTGATTAGGTTGTGAGTGCTTTCAATTGAAGTGTGCAGTATTGTAACACTATAATATACTGCAGTGCCTTGGCTATCTGTTTGAATGTCTTTGATTTGCTCCAGAAATTGAGTTAGAGAAATGATATGGCTATCACGGGATTCTGTTAGTTTTTTTGGTTTTCTTTAGAGTTCTTTGGATAGATTGATTATTTGGCTCCATGGGAGTGAAACGATTTGTGTGAGTTGAATCTACTATAAAAGCAGAGTAGGACGGGTCAGTGGAATTTCATTCACCTCTGATCTACTTTTGTGATTTGACTTGCTTTGATGAGTCTGCTTAGCGTACTTTGGATTTGGTTGTCTAATGTTTGGATAGGATTTGCCTTGATCCTTTGGTATGCGTGGTTATTCCTAAGCAATTCTTCAGGTTCCTTGCGGTAGTCACCTGTCCATTAGCACTGTGGTTCTTTTTTGTCGACTGGTAGTATAACTGTGTTCTTTCTTTTCTTAGTCTTTCAGGGAACTGATTATTGTGCTTCCTTGTTTGAACGCAGGTACGCAGGGTGTATTTTTTGAATTCCTTCACTCAATCGTGATTCTAGGGTATTGCTGAAATCAGTGTGCGAGGCATCGCGAGTATTGTAGTTCAATGCTTCCTGGAGTTGTTCTTCCATTTTTAACAGTGGTTGTCTTAATGAATTGACCACTCAATCATTCAGTATTCCTTCAGTTTCATTTTTTATTTTCATTAATATATCTTTTATTCTTTATGTCGTTTGCTTTACAATGCAATCGTGGCTATCACCATTGAAAGATACTCCTGACTAAGAATCTTTTCTAGTTCTTCTTTTTAGTTGTTGATTGCGTTTTGGTATTTCTATACTCGGTAGCACACTCACTCCTGTTTATTTCTATTTGATTGCTGTGTATTACATTGGTGGCTAAGTAAATGATATCTTCTTGGTATAAAAGGTTATCGATATGGTGGAACACTTGTTCCTTTTGGCGAAGAAGATATGGCCGCTTTAAAACCACCTTCGGAAAAAAATTTGAGTGTCATTGGATTCACGGATGCCAAAAATGTAAGCCTTTTGTTTCTGCTAATTTTTATGATATTTATCTACTCCCTGATTCTATGGAAACTTTCGTTTGTAGGTGATTTCCGCTGTGTCACGTTCTAAAGTTACTTCTGTCTTCATTAAAAACGTGAATATTTATCAATGATGCTTGTGAAAAATAGAGGGATTACTCGTTAACTATCAATAGCCAGTGAGGCATTAAAGTCTTCTAAATCTTGAGAATTGACAACTTTATTGTTTCATAAAGGCACTTATTTCCTACAAACGATGATTAGTTATTTTACTGACTCTCTTCAAGATTGATGATTTGATGCTGTGTAGTTTGATCGACTGAACTGCAGCGATAAAAAGATTAGCCATTGTGATTTTACAAGAAATTACCTTTTGCAGTAATCTGAGAGATTTAAGCATTTATCTTTCTACAATTAACTGCTAGACAGTAAAGTGATTTCATTGTTTTACGTTAAAGTGGAAGTTAGTTGTCTGTTGCATATCAGTTTGCAACCATACAGGTTAATTAATTTCGAAACAGAAAGTGTGCATATGAACTCAGGGAACTGAATTGACGTAACTACCTTATAAGGTGAGGTTGCTTTCTCAAAAAATTAGTTAACAAAACACTGTAAGCATCCTCGCTGAAAACCAACACCTGAATGGAACGTGAATTCGTCTACTAGATTCATAGAGGTGGAAACTTCAACCCAGAAGAGCTGAAGGACATTTAGTGTCTCTGAAATGATAGCGTAGAAATTTGTTAGCAGTAGCACTCGAATGTAAATACATAGCAATAATTATTCCTGCTTAAATGACATCTAGTCACTGGGAGTTGCGTTTCGATGTGTTAATCTCTAGGTGCAATTTAACTGTAAACAATTTATTATGTAAGATGATTCCAAAACTTAAAAAGCATAAAAATGGTCATAGGTACAAGAAGACACAGAAGTCTTTTAGAATAGTGTATTCAGAATAATATGGACAATTTTGTATAGCAACCTCATTGTTTTGTATTCAACAGTTTTTAAAGTTTACTCCTAAATATTCATTTGCTTCTCGTTTGGCGACATGTATTGAGCATTAGGTTTCACGTTTCATTATTTAGTCATCGCACTTATATACGACAGTATGATCTTGTAATTATTCTTACCCATATTCATCTTTCCTTCAGATGAACAGTAATTCATTAACAATTTTTTTAAAAAAATTATAAGGTCCCTCATTATTTATACACTGGTGAAAGTGTCATGGTTTTTGTGGCTGAAGCGGTTCAACAGGTTGAAGACAGTGAAGTCAGTCCTCCGTCAAGTTCAACAGCGTTGGCTGCATTAGCTCAAGCACTTTATGAAGTTGGCGGTGTTGCTCTTATTCGAAGGGTATATAGTCGAACAAGTGCACCTAGACTAGGAGTTTTAACACCTGTGTAAGTTGTACCAAAGTCTTTTGGTCTATTCATTCTTTTTCCGTAATTGGTTAGTTTGTTAATAAAGTTTGCTTAGTTAGAATACAACTAATCAGGTTGGAATAAACAAATCATGCTAAAAAAAGAAATTCGGCTTATTTATTTTGTTCAAAGTTAAAGTCCATAAAAATTGTTACTGATAGTTCCATGCAGTCGGTTCCCCCTATATTCGTTTCAAAATAGCAAAAAGGAATATTTTATAGGTTAAAAAACGTTCAATGCACTTAACAGTTTTTTTCTTTAGTTTCTAACAGCCTGTTGTAAATGAAAAATTATTCCAACTCAAAACGCCATTAAATAATTCTTAGCATTGTATTGGAACAAAGGGTATGAATACAAGATAAGTAATATAATATTCGGACAGCAGGAGTTTGCTTGGACATAATATGATAGGGAGTTTGATAGAAGGTGAAGGTGAATAAGTAAGGAACGTCAAATCAAGATGATTGTATAAACAAACAATCAAGTAAAACAGGAAGCTTAATAATAGCAAGTGAAAATCAATAATTGGATTAAGTACACCAGGCTAGGCGTGAGGACAGATACTCGCCGAAGATATTGACTAGTGGTCGCGCTATTTCGTGAATTGGTAGAAGTAAGAATTCATGGGTTGGCCATTGGGTCAGGGCCCAGTGGCTTGATGGTCTACGAGCTTGCCTTGTAACCAGAAGGTCCTGGGTTTGAACCCCTGTGGTGGCCGCGTACCGATGAAGAGTCCCTAACTAGGGCGAAACAACTGTATAGTACTCTCAGATTTTTCAATGGTTCTCAAACCGATGTTAGCTCAGGATGAAATCCTGGAACCAATTAGATAAGGATTATAACACAACAAAATCAAGTCTGGTTAGCAGGTTCGTATAAGGTTATCTTTCCGTGTACAGTGGTTAGGTTAAAATCACCTAATAGCAATGGCTTCAGTGAAACAAAGTAACCAGGGTTTTCTTTGTATGTTGAATGGTTTAAAGGCTTGATTATCTTCAACTATAACAATTATTTCAACATTTAATATGAATTTAATTAAATAGAGGTAATTATATTGACAGGAGTGTTATGAGTGGATGTGTACAAGTTTGCACACATTTTCTTCAACACGAGTCCTTTGTTTCTCATGGACTGTAACTTTTAATGTTTTATTTTCCTTAATCTTTTCCAGAGTTCAGGATAACAGAGTGTCACTGGTATACACTGATTTAGCGTTTAATGAAGATATTCGTAACTTGGAACTTCCGAGTTTACCAGTTTCTTGTGAATCTTCCAGTTCCACTTCAAAAGATTTTACTAAATCACAAGAAAGTAGAAAGTCACAAAGAGATTGTCCATCTGAAGAGCAGTTGTCTGCTATGGATTCTTTTATTAACTCTATGATGTTAAACTACTCAGATGACAGTGAAGATGATGAGACAGATGATAAAGAGAAGGAGGATATTAATAATAGTTCGTCAAATATAAGGTGAATTTTCACATTCTAACTATTCAAAATTAATTAATTTGATTATTCACCTGTTATATAAGTCTGTATATTTCATACCAGGCACATAGTCTAGTGTTGTGGTACATCTATTATTATTATTATTATTCGAAACATAAACATGTCACATTATGGGCACCCAGAGATGCACCACACAAAATCACGTAGTTTGTGTCAGGGCTGGAATATTGCCCAGATGCCCAGACTGAATCAGGTGGTTGCCTTGATGGACCAATTCCCGAGAGTTTGACTTGAAATTTTGTCTACAAGGTAGCAGGACATCGTCAGGAGCTGTGTTCCAATGGTTTCCGGTGTCCAAAACAAGTTCATATGTCATTTGATCCGTTCGGATTCTGGAGCCCATGTTCGCCATAAGTTAGGAATTAGGGTTTTCCAACTCCTTGAGGTAGGCCAGCATGTCAGTCTGTCCGGTTGTAAGCTCCAGACGTTCGTATTTACATTTTTGCTTTTGTGAGGAACAGCCCCGTCACGTTAAGGTAGAAAATAGAACTTATCTGACAGAGGCTATCCACGCGTGACCACATGAGATCATTTCGACCGGAAGATCAAAGTCCACCCACCCACCCTCGGCTTTACCAGGTCGTTTATGGTAGCTGAGCTACATCTAGATGCTTAATGTATGTTTGCGAGACTTCAACCTCAAACATTGTCCTTTAAGTTAAGGGTCGTTTTGTATTGATAACAATCTCAGACTGACAAGTGTAGTCATTCTAGAGTCTCTACGATTTTTGTAAGTCCACCGTGCATATTTATGTATCACTTAGCTATTTCGATGGTTTCTAGACTATTTCCCTAAAATTCTTAACTCAGTCATATTTCTTGCTATTCTTTCTTGAATTGCTACGAGATTATTCGATGACTTAAAGGATTGGGCAAAGTTTGTTAGCTTCACAATACAGTTTAGTGGATGATGTACAGTTTGTGTTTTAAAATGAGTATTGAAAGATTTAAAGGGACAATAACCATGATTAGGACAAGCACAGCTAGTACAGATTGAGTATCAATAAAATTAAAATGGGGGAAGATTTACAGTCTTTCATAATTCCAATCGTTATACAGGTCAGTAAGATTGAAATATTTCTTGGTTCCAATTCCTCACAACTTTTATGCCCAGAAGAGATTTCTTCTAGTTAATTCATTCGGAATTTTCATTCCTCATGATTATTTCTACTCGTGTATGAGTTTAAGTAGTATCACGATTTAGTCTTAAAATACAGTTTCATATTCTTCAATTACCAGGCAAAATTAGTCAAGAGGAGAAAGGTGATACCGGTAAATGAAAAGACGATCAAGAAGTTGGCTTCATAAACCAAACCTTCTATTACTTAATATTCCTGTAATCCTATTATATACACTTTGTAGATAGAGCTACAAGTTTTGATGACAAAATGAGTTAGCTTCCTTTTTTCTCAATCATATTTCAAGATTTTCCCTATAGTTTGGCTTTATATAAAAGAAACAAATTTAACAAAATGTTAAAACTAATTAAAAAAATTTAATGTTAACTTCGCTAAACGTGAAAGAATTCTTCACAAAACCGGTAGTTAATTCGTTCAGGCAATAGATTACTAGACCGCAAGTTCTAGCATACTATGTCTACTCCAGTATAGGCAGCTAGGTAGTATTAAGAATTCTAACATTTCCAGATGTAATTTACAGCTTGATAAGGAAATATGTGTAGAGATATTTAGTTATACTACGCGTTGGTGATTATTTAGTACATTTTTCACATTTCATGAAATTTGGTTGCTTGCCTTCACAGTTTTCCTATTATATAAAGAGATCCAATCTTGCTGTGTATAGGGCGAAGTTAAACTGTCATAGCCAAAGCCTCTTTGACCTTGGACAACCAATCAGAATTCAAATGCAAAAAGTCTCATAAGCATTAAGAAAGTGCTAATGGTCTCTTGTGTGCTGTAGGAATGTTCCCCAGACATTCCAAGGATAATCCACTGGGAAATCATACCATACTCGATAGATTTATCCATCCAGATGACTGAAGATTATGCTACTCTCCAATCCATTGATATTCCTGACACTGATCTCCAAACTAACCGGAACTCTAATCCCAACCTTAACCCTAAAAATACTAAACCAACCTGATAGAGCAGATTTGCAAAAAAAGGTACCTAGGGAATAAGCAGAACCCTCACCGAATCCATAAGCCCAGGCAGGATTTTATTTATAATGATCTTTCTAGGCGTTCTCTAAATCTGATTGGCTCTTCAAGGTCAATTTTCCACAGACCTTGATAGTTTCGCTTCTCCGGATATATGGAATAATGTAAACAAATCTTCTCAACAATGGGCTGATCAAATGTTTAGTTAGAATATACGATTTTCTAAACACGGATATCCTTATTGATATCAAATTTTATATATACTGTTGGTAATGCGTACGTATTGTAACGCATACGAGAAGTTTCATCTGTATGTTATTTGAATTAAGCCTAATATGAAGTTATTGTAGAAAGGTTGTCTCAAATATACTCTGTTAAATAAGTACTGTACTCTTTCTATGAACAATGTTATTACGTCAAAATAATCAAAAAGTATAAATCAGTGACGTTTATTCTCTAATTTATATAATCCTAATCTACTAATTTGTTTATATCAAGGCTGAAACTAAATGTGCAACCGGAACTAATTACTCATTGTATTGTTTGTCTTTCATCGCAGCTTCACGCCACAGCGTATACCAAATCCTTGGATTCAGCGGTTCTTCACTTGCCTTAGGCAACGTGGTCTTAATCCAACAATGCCACTACCATCTTCTACAAACCATTCACAACATTGGTTGTCACCTGAAATGTTTCCTGGTCTAGAAGAAATCATAACAAGAATCAGTTCAGACTCTGGAGACCCATTTGTGAGTGAATCTCGCAGTATGCTTCTCACATCATTTCCGTCTCTTCGCTCTGCCAGTGAATCAGTTGATTTGACTGAAGAATACTTGGCTAAACGGAGGCGTCTCATGGAGGAAGAACTTTATGGCACGTCTCCTTCTACAAAGGATGCAGACAACGAACAGCTGTCACCGAATTCAGAATTAACCAATGGTACTTCACAAAATACTACCACGTCAAGTTCCATTCAAATAAATTCAGTTCAAGATTTTGAAGTCCTTCTCTCTAAGCAACAGACGGAACTCGGTAGGTTTTTAACATTCTGATTTTCTCATGTGACTTTTTATTGAAACCAGTTTCTATGTTTCTTGAGTTTTTAAGTAGATTTTTACTGTTTTTTTGCTTAACATGGGTATGGAGATATCGATTTACCGACTGGCTCAACAAGCCTACAAGTACTCTTCACTTGCCCACTGTATCATCGTGAAAAAAATGTCTCGAAGGTGTGGAATTACTGTAATATGAACGATGACTCGCAGTCAAATGAATCACATTATTTGATTGTGGTACGACGAAGATAAACCGGTGTGAAACTTCATTCTACAACAAATCTCATTTTCTACCTTTATTTTTAACTTTTGTTGATTGCTCGTGATACTGTCGCCATATAAGTAATATGAAGGCCAGATGTAAGTTCTTCTGTAGGAGAGGTGTAGCAGTTGATGGGATTGTAAAGTCTAACCTATTGAGGTGATGTTAGCATGTTTTACTCATTTCTGTCTACATATGTAACTCTGGATGAAGTAGGATAGTACTTGAAAACAGAAACCATATGTAATAGCACCAATGTATGAGGTCATTGACTATTATTTGAAGTCATTTAGCTGAGAACAAGTTACCTCATCTATCATCCGAAAAAAACCACCGGAATTAGTTTTTGAAGACTGTAGATCATGCGGGTCAGAGTAGATCTCAATAGTATAATTATATTCAGACTTCTTCGTGTTGACTGTAATGTCAGATCTCATCTCCTATCTCCTACATATTTTGACCACATTATTCTCATTTGTTTCCTACAATGTTATGCGGTGTAGCTATGCTATATCCTTCTGTGACAACGACTGTCTATCTGCTCCTCGAGTAACACACTATTTAACTGATAACCGCTTTCTAAGCGTATATATATATATATATTGAGAGAGAGGAAGAGAAGTACTGAGAAGGTAATTACAAAGACATTTAAAGCACAAAATGAAATGTATATGAAAAGTAGGAAGTTAGGCATTTGGAATGACAATAAATGCTATTTTTTCGCTACCTTGTTTACATTACTGTCGATATCGACATCTGTAATTATGTCCTATATTCTTAGAACTAAAAAAATGTTGGTACTTGTGTGTATGAAACTATTCATTTTGTCCAACTTAGCTTGTAGACTCATGGAAGAGCATATCACTCAACTGGTCACTGATCCTTTCACTGCGAATATGTTACGTCCTAAAGCTATAGCTTGTCTTTATGCTTATCGAAAACACGCTCAATGGAATAAGAAAATTATAAGTAACAATAATGAGAAAGACAATTCCGGTGATATCATTTCTAGTGAAACAGGCGATAGCTGCACGAACCATCTGGAAATTGCTCGAGCATACAATAATTTCATTCGTGAATGGCGTCAAGACCTCATTAATCGTAATCTTCTTGGAAGTGATCTTTCATCTTTTTCTGCTCCAGTCGACAACAAGTTATCATTCTGGCTGGAGACGATCACTCAAGGTAGGTTTTACAGAATGTTTAGTCTGATAAATCTTGTTTTACTTGCCTATTTTAAAAAGGCACCAAATCGAAAATAAATTAAATAAACACTCTTCAAAAACATTTGTTTCTTGACACCAATTTGAAGCAGGCAGCAAACGTTATTAGAGGAGGATTTATTGAGCATATATATATATATATACATATATACATCATGTAAACGCATCGGTGGCATAGCGGTTAGGACGCTCGCAGACCATGCGCATGGTCCGGGGTTCGATCCCCGGCCGACGCACTCCATTACCTCGCTAAGCCACAAATAATGCTGGTGAAGAGGAAAGGTTGGGCATGAGGCTACCAACCCCATTCTGTAAAATAAACACTGCTACAGAAACTTCAAGCCACTAGCTTGAAGCCCTATGTTCCACTGGGGAACGTGAAGGAAAAGAAAGAAAAGAAACCCAGAAGCATCATCGAAGCACCTCTACTGGACTCGGAAAAGATTAAGCATTCAAAAAGATTAATGTAAATAATAAAGAGTTGAAATGGATGAAAAATTATTGAATTATATAATTTCAACTAGGATGAAAACAATAACTTGGTGGCAATGTGAAGTTGAATGAGTATCGGGGTCCTAATACAAATAAAAATGATTTCTTCTATTCCTTTACGTTCCTAGTGGAACATAGGGCTTCAAGCTGGACGCTTGAAGTTTCAGTAGCAGTGGAGTTTATTTTTACGGGATGAGGTTGCTAACCTCATGCTCAACCTTCCCTCTTTACCAGTCTCATTACCGGCTCAGCGAGATTAAAGGAATGCGTCGGCCGGGGATCGAACCCCTGACCACATGCGTGGTCGGCGAACATTCTACCTATGTGCCATGATTTAGGTAAATGTATTCTTATACTTAACACCTATGTATTAGCGCCCTTGAGTATATTCCAACTGATATATTATAGCGTCTATTATGTTGTGGATTGATGTCACATCTCCCCCTGATTGTTTTGTAACCTTTGTGGTGGTGCTCAGCTCGTTTAATGACATTGTCTAGTCTCTGCCTAACTATTCGAATAGCATCACACTTCTATTAGGATCTCAATCAGAGTAAAACAGCTGTCTATTATACATTGGTTTCCAGTGGTTATCCGTGCAAATATATCTCCGCATATTGAAGACAAATAATTGCTGTATTCTGCGGCAATATCTAATAATATATCACGAGGCGTAAGTCATTCTAATTGTGAGCATACAGTACCAGTTGCAAATAGCTATTTTGTGTGTGTGTGTGTATATGTGTTAGTGTTAACAATCCTGTGTTGTTTAGCTCTAAAACTCAAAAACCACCCTTGGTCACCAAGTTTCAGTTCAATTTGATTACTTGCTTATGTGTAAAGGTTTATTATGAAAGCCAGTTTTGAATATATATAAAGGTATATAAGATTTGTGCACTATATCTTTTTTCCTGTGTGTGTGTTTGTGCGTATTTACACAGGTTTCGGCTTATTGTGTGAAGAAGAAGTACCAGGAATCGATGTCAGCCAGTCAGAAAATATGGCATTTTTGAACCTGGATGACGTGGTATCATATCCTCAAGCTGCTGAAATAAAAAGCGCTGCATCCCTCTCTCCTAATCATGTTTTAAGAGTGGATCATTTGGTAATTATGTTTTTAAAAAAATTTGTTTTAATTGAACTAAAATTATCAGGTATTATAGGTTGTCATCAATTTGAGTTTGTTTTCGGATTTAATAAGTTATTCAAATATACGTGTGTAACAACGGAAGACAAGGACCAGGCAACAGATCGTTTATTAGAGGGAAAATGAACACATATTTATAGATTTTAATGTACATTATTGTAGATTATTGTTAGTAGAAAATACAGTCTTTTGATTGGTTGTTTCTCACAGAAAGTTAACCTTGCATCTCTTTGTGGCTGTGTCAGATCATCCATATGCTAGCTGAATCCGCCTACGCAAAGCCTTTGTTCTCATTTTCTCACCACCACCAATATTGGGGACATAAACATTGACGTCAATTACTGTCTACCAACTTTGGCTATCAGCCAGCTCTCACCACACGTGTATATTACGCTGTAATTGTGTGCATTGTTTTGCAACTGTCAATGTGACACTTATTGTTTTAGGTGTAATTTTGAATTTGTTAAAGTAGCCTCTTATAAAAAGTTTTATTTTCGTTCTTTTTTCTTCCAGCTTAATGATGACTTCGAGTGAAATCCAGACGACAACAGTTTTACTATTTTCTTATCTTAGAATCATATAACACACACCATTTGTACATCTGTTTATTCTGCATATGTGTATATGGTTTAATATACATACATCATTTTTACCGAAAAATTTGTATTTTACCTGAAGAGTGAGCCGTAAACCTGTAGCAGTTAGGGGAAAGCAAAAGTATTTATTGTTTCGTAACAACTGTTATTGGTTTGTCTCACAGTATCAATATCTATTCCAATTCATAAAATTGATATTGCAAATATCGACCAGATCTCCTGACGCATGCGAAGAAATCTTAACAAAATATAACAAACAAATTTGTGAACTAGGTTATAAGTTATTTCTTGTGAGTGATGACGCTTTTTATAATACAAATATTGAGATTAAAATACTTGCAGTTATATTTTTGTGGTTGGGAGACATGTGCACATAACAATGGACTGCACTTCTACAGGTAGATATATAAGGAAAGTAATACTGGAGAATTATATTGTTTGTATTCAGTGGTGTGACTGGTTGAACTACTGACCAAAAGTTTCTCATTCATTATGTAGCTAGACTAAGTATTATATAGATTCACGGTAGATAACGAAAATAGAAAGCATTTCAGGGGACGGTACATTTCAATAACTTTCTTTTCAGAAATAAACACTTCTACCTCTCAAGCCATTGCCTAAAATTGTTGATTTCAATATTCTCTGCCACTTCCTGTCAATTCACATCTACATTGCACTCGCCACACTCGTTCCCCCGTCAGTTATTTTCGAGTGGTGCCACTCCAACCTGCTTGGTGCTATCCACTCTTATTGCATCTTCTCATCGGCTTGTTTATCCCACTGTATTCATCTCTGGAGTTAGCTGGCGTTGACGAGTTTCCCTTTATCACCTCTTATAATGGCATGAACGGGGCCACTTCTCTCGCTGACAGTGTACATTCCATCCCACACTAGAAGGCGTTTCTGTGAACCTGGCATGCATCCAGCAGTCTGCCTTCTTCCTATACACCTCACTTCATCTCCGACTTCATATGCTGTGCATACATTCCTGCTTCTCTGTTTGAATTTCTCAGAGTCCATCTTCTCTCCATGTTTTTTACATTCATGACGGCTTCTCTTCATTCCCTTCCCAATCTTGTCTTTCACTACATTCTTGGTGAAGGGGTCAGGTCGTGTTGTGTTTTGGCAATCGTGGTTTCCTACCATAAATCAACTGGAACGATGACTTCTATGTTGTTTCCTTGGAGAAAGTACGATGTTCTGGTAGAATCGATGGAAGCTCCGTCTCCCAATTACCTCCCTTAGACACCAACCACCGATTCAGTGTGTGGTTGATTCTCTCTCTGAAAACATTGGTTTGTGGAGGATATCGCGTTGTTCTTATCTTCTCGATACGTAGCTGTTGCAAATGGGATGTACATTTTTCACTTTCGAAGAAAGGATCTTCAGAAACATTCTTTGCAGGCATAGAGAAGTGGACCCATGACTCGATGACAGATATAGTTTTGAGAATGCGTTATTGCAAATCGAATAGTCTAATAATTCTACGATGTGTATGTGTGTGGGGGTTGTCCCGTAAGACTTTATATTCAGTGTTACATCTTGAACCTGACTGTTATCGGATGAATAAGCACAGATTACACAGATAGCTTGCATGTATATAGATGGATTTAAGTGAACTTCATTCATGTGTTTATTATTTGGGAGTGCTGGGTTTAGGTTTTGTGATCGTTGACACAGCTTCACCGAAATTCACAAAACTCACCATTTCCGTAGATTGTGTAGTGAATAACTGTTGACGACAAGATAGGTCTGTATGCACAACTGCAATAATTGAGACCGTGTTACATAAGCAGCATCCATTCTCATCACAGTTATTTAGTAATATACGTATAAAGCGTCTTATCTGAAGGCGCACATACAAATGTCTTCTTAAACTCCATAAAGTTATCTCGCTGGATAAACTTGAATGAAGAAAGAAGAATGTTTTGTGCAGAATAAACTGAAGTCATTATATTCCGTCGATTCTTGTTAGTGGTGTTCCACCACGCGCATATTGTCATCAATTTGCTAAATATTGACATCCTTTTATTGTTGGTCATGAACCTGATGGATATTGATATCACGTGATTAAGAAGCCTAATTAAAGACTGTAAACTCTGTTTGATGCTCTTTAGTACGTGTAGGAAATATTCTGGAATTGGGAACGAATATTTTAAATAGAATAGTGGCGTAAAATCAACAATACACTTATTTCTGAGTCAAATATTCAGTTGAGCATAGATCATGGAGGGATCTGATGACGCATATGTGTAAAGAGTAAACTGGGATAGGAAGGTGTACTGTTGAAACAAAATCTAAGTAAGACAACAAAACTTACGAAGACAATCAAATAATGTGTCTTATATTTATGCAGATTAACAACGGTCTCCTTTCGATGTATGAATATGGATTTCTACTGCAGCACTAGCTCCGACGTCCGATGCGAGCTACTGCGTGTACATGAGTCATCTTTGTTGACCTCATCCTTGGAGATCTCTTTTCAAGTACTTCATTTGTATATAGTGTGTAAATCTACGAGATACAGAACATTACAATAAGACGAACTGTTTGCCTACTGTGTTCACTCTGGATATATTTACTCTGAATACAGGGAACTACTTACAATATTCAAAGTGGTGCGTGATGTATTTGGAATTCGCCACTGACATGTGTCAAGGCATAGCTTGATTCCATTGTATTCTTGTGGGTTATATCTACTTTATTACTGATAAACCTGTCTCCACACATCGCCACATTCTACTGGGATGACTGGCTTCAGTTATTAGGGTGCATCATTTGGACCCATGGAGGTATGACTTCATTGAGTGAGTGTACTGAATCAGGTGGAGTAGTTGTCATCTTATTACCGTATCTGTCTTTGTGAACTGCCTAACTGCTACTAATCTTGAAAATTTTATAGATCAGACAGACTCAACATACTTTGCTACCGTGTCCATAGACGCCCTCCTAATTCTTCTGCACCAGTTGTGGGCTGTTTGTAGGTGAATGACGTTGTGAGTCATAACTTTCCTTCCTTCTGAGATGAATCTTTCAGTCATGATCCTGGAAATCATCATGATAGTCACACCGGAGATTTCATCGTGGTTGTTGTCTGACTAACCGGAATACATTGTTTACTCTCCAGATAACAATTTGGAGATTTCACTTCTATTCCACCTGCTGTCACAGATGTCTATGACTTCAGTGTTATACCATGTAATTTCTTCTGCAATCTGAGCATCCTTGCTGGTGTGAAACACAGTGTGGACATTCCGTGTCCCTTAGCCTACTTTTGCTTTCATCGAAAAAGGCGCATAGACCAATAGTCTTCCCAATGTCTTTCACCCATCGACGTCATGCATCCTGGAAATCAGGAGTCTTCCTGATTCAATCGGAGGATAAATTTATTTCTTCTGTCTTTTGCATTCTTGGCAGAGGTTGGCTTGCCGATTAGGCGAGTTCTCTTCCTCCTCGTGTGTGCAGAAATTTATTTGAGTTAATTTGAGTAATTCATGTATTATTCGAGTGGTCCTGAATGTAAATTTTGTTTTCTGAAACTTTTGAATTAAAATCGTGAAAACTAAAGCATTACATATACATATATATGTATATGTATAATGACGACATAAGCTTCCATACATCACCATAAGGTTTGGACCAAAGATATTGTCGGCAATGCAACACAAATCCTCATGTTAGTTATTTCCTAATTTAAGTAAAGCGCGTCATTGAACAGTACATATACAGATGGGTTTTAAAGTTATTTTCGAGTGACAGTACGTAAGATTTTGTGTTAAGTGTGGCACTAACTCCGAGGACAAGTGTATATCACTGCATGTTAATGAGTCATGTTTGTGAAACTCATACACATCGATTCTTTTCTGAATGCACCGATGGTATGTTGTAGGAGGATCCATGAGATGGATGACAGTGAGGCGTGCCTAATTCCCATGTGTTTACATAGGATATACTTGCTCTTAATAGAGTTAACTACTTAGGGTAACTAAAGTTGTACGCAAAGTCATCTAACTTGTTTATAACTGATGTTAAATTAGTGTTACCCTTTAAAATTGTTTTGATCACAGAGGCTTATCATGCTGTGTTTTTGATAATTTTCATGAGTAATGATCAGATACTTAAAACACAGGATGAAATATTACTAGAATACATTTCTCTTGTCAACAATATGCAGTGTGTGGATTAAAATCATCCGAAGATATCAGGTTGTCTAACTCCTGAAATCATTGTTGAACTTTCTGAATAGTCGTACTGACAAATATTAAGTTGTTTATGAGAGCACTCTACCCTAGAGTTATGAAGTAAAATATTTTCAGAAATATTTCAATTAAAAGAAATAATAACATTATACATTGAAAAAATATCAGTTTAAAGGAAACATTTACTCACGTAATTCTTAATTCTCGGTAATTAGTATTTGTGAAACCACAAATTTCGAAAAATTGAGGTATGAATTTACAAAGAAAAGTCCTCATATTATTTCTTAATCCAACCTTGCAAATATACTATCACGTTCGAATGTTCAAAATGTTCAACTTTCACTTGTAGATCACTTCGTTGTAATTTCAGTGGAAAGTGAACAAACCAATTGGTCGATGTTTATGTTTTACATGAAAACAGACAGTAATGTAACTTTCAACACACTTATTTCATACGGTAACACAATGGAAATGTTTCAATTGATTTTGTGATGTGAGGTATTAGCAGTTTCGAGTTGAGAATGTCCAACCGAATTCTTCAAAGTCGACAATTCCTAGTTTTAGGACAATGAATTAAAGAATATTGAGGTGAAAATTCTTCAAGAATATGAATTAGGCATTCGTGTCTTACTAATCAAATTGCAGTGTTATCGCATTAGAAGAAATGTAGAACACATATGATTCACTTGTATCCACTAGAGTCATCCACCAATCTTTTGAATACTGTAAATATATATAT